CCATTAAAATAATTGCAAATATAATAATTATTTTTATTAAATAAAAATTTGGTTCTCTACCGTAAAGATTATTTAGTTCATACCTACTCAATGGATATTATTTAGTCGACTATATTTTGTATTGGAATTATGCTTTTAACTAAGCCTTATCAATAGAGTTAGGTGTCGAACAAAAAAATGATGGACCTCGAATAGTTATAGTAGACGTTGAAGAGAAGTTTGTCAGGATAAGTGCATGGTCGTATTTAGTTTGAGGGAAGGAAGGACGGTTGGTATGACCAAAGTCTTATATTGGCTAATCGAAGAAAAAATCATAGGTATATAAGCGATAAATTCTATCTCTATAAAATATACTACAATTATGAAGAGTCATTGTCCCGAACAATGTACACGCAACCTTAAAAAGTTGGGTGTAATTGTAGCAGCTGGTTAGGAAATGTGCAAGAAATGGTAGACTTTTTGGTGGATGCATGGGAACAAGACAGGCTCGTTGGATCTTGAGCTCTCCTCCTGTAACAGTCCCCTTTCGGGCTTCCCCTCAAGACTTTAAAACGCGTCTACTAGGAGAAGGTTTCCACACCTTTATAAATGGTGGTTTGTTCTCCTTCCCAACCAATGTGGGATATCACAATTCACCCCCTTCGGGGCCCATTATCCTCGGTAGCACACCGCGTCGTGTCTATTCCCTTTCGGGGAACAACGAGAAGGCTGACACATCGTCTGGTGTTTGGCTCTGATACCATTTGTAACGGCCCAAATCCACCGCTAGCAGATATTGTCATCTTTGGGCTCTCTTTCGGGCTTCTACTCAAGGCTCTGAAACGCGTATGTTAGGGAAAAGTTTTCACAACCTTACAAATAGTGGTTTATTCTCATCCCGACCAATATGGGACATCACACCTCCACTTGAGCTCGGGTCCTATAATTCTCGGTCTCCCCTTGGCTGTTCTATGGAGCATTTGAAAGTTTGACGAAATTAAGGATAATTTAAGAAGTGATAACTGATAAGACACAACCATAATCTTTCCCAAATAAACAAATCTGGGAATGATGAAGACTTGTCCTTGTCAGAAATAAGAGATTTGGGTCCATATTCACCAATCAGAACATGACACGTTTCCTTGCTTAGATTTCTTGCTTATGATTATTATTAGTACAGTAGTCATTTCAATCAATCATCATATCGCATCAAAATCCTAGCCGTCCAAATTGATGATGGAAGCTTCCTTGATCTTGATCTCAATCCACACCGTTCAACGTTATCTAATCAAGTAAAAGATCATAGGTATATAAATAAAAGACACGATTTTCATTGTTGTTAAAAATTAGGGACACGAGAAATAGGTATTTATTCATCTTTGATTGGTTTCGAGCTGAACGGAAAGTTTTCAAGTGAAAAAAGCCGAACAATACGCTCGTTGTCATCTTTTATGAAAAGTAAAAGAAACCATGGTTAATTAATAGATAGTTTTTTGAAAAGAAAGTTGAAAGTGAATAAAGTTTTCTGTAAAAGTAAAAATATTTTTATCTTTTTTGAAATGTTGTTTGTAATAAAGCCCATGCAGGCTGCAGCAGTTCCAACAACGAAGAGAGGTTAAAAACCCTTCATTTTGCATCTCTATTCTGTTCTGTTCTATTCTATTTACCCAGAAGCTAATGAATGTTAGCAGTAAAAAAGGTAAAAAGTTTTGGGAATGAAAAGAGAGCGTTTGGGTAAAAAAGTGTTCAAAGATTTAGGGTTCTTTGGAAATATGAAGAGAGAGAGAGAGAGATCTATGGTGTTTCCAATGGAGGAGGAATAAAGTTCCACTAAATTTATTACCATTTCACACTTCTCACCTACTTTTTTTTTTTTTACTTTTAATAACCCTAATTTACCGAGGTGTTCAAGAGATTAGAGACTTGAATCTCGTAACTTACTCGTTACGAGTTTTAAGGTAATTTTATTTTCAAAATGTTTTATAAGTCCTAATTTACTAGTGTGATTGTCAATTTAAGCATAACTCAACTGATTAACACGTAATATCAATCAAGAGATTAGAGAATTGAATCTTGTAGTTCGATAATGATGATCGAAATTATGTTTGTTTAAGATAATGATGGAATGGGAAGATAAAAGTGAGGCATTCATTCATTAATTGATGTTTTAAGGATTTGTGGAGCATAGAACTTATAATTGACATGTGAAGTTGGGTTTTGAAAAGGCATAAAGATTCCCAAAAGGAAAGGGTTGAAAAGGTGAAAATGGGAAAGGGAAGCTGAAATGGAGCTTCATTTGGCACTGTTATGTGGCAGTGTAGCACTCACTAGCTGCCTGATTCAGTGCTGCTGCCCCTGCATGGGAGAAGCTTACCAACTGACAGATATCTACTTGAACTCCATGCTTTTTTTTTTCTTTTTTTTTTGAATGAATAATTTAAAGCATTGTTGTGGGGTTCAATTGGTTGATATAAGTAGAAAAGGGTTAGTTTTAGAATTTTGAATCGTGGGTCAAATCTCATCTAACGCGTATAAGTTTTAAGTAGACAAGAAATGAGTTGTTGAAAAGGTGCGGGCGTTCGAAAATAAGAAAGATCAATTAGGGTTTGTTCATGTCGAGCCCACCATTAGGATATTGTCTGCTTTGGATTTTTCTTTTCGAGGTTTCGATTTTTAAGACGAGTTTTAAAAGTCTTGAGGAGAAGTCTAGAAGGTAAAACCCAAAGAGAAGAATATGTATTAGCGGTGGGCTTGAGTCGTAAATGAATTGTGAGATCCAACATCGGTGGGGAGGAAAATGAAACATTTTTTATAAGGGTGTGGAAACTTTTCACTAACAAGACGCGTTTGAGGGAAAATTCTGAAAGGAAAAGCTTTAAAAAGACAATATCTATTAGCGATGGACAGAAATAATTTTGAAAGATTTGAAAGAAAGCATGATGGATGATGATGATAATGGAGAAATGGGAGCTCAAGAAACAAGGCATTGTGAGCTTATAATAGACAAGACATGTAGGGTTTGTAAAGTAAAAAAAAAAACAAGACATTGAAGTGGTCACTTCAGTCATTCACTAACAACTTAAAGTCAGAGTAGCTCAGTTCCCCAAAACCAATCCAAATGCCTTCAAAACCCTATTTTATGTCTCTTCCAAAGGAAACATTTTTGAGCTTCTCATCTCACCTTCACTCCCTTCCTCCAATCACTTCAACCTGCCTTTCTCAATGTCCCTTCCTTCTTCCTTCAAATTGCCTCTCCTCCTCCTCCTCCTCCTCTTCTTCCTCTTCCTCACATTTCTTCCTTCTAAATCAGGTAATTTAGCATCTTAATCAAACCCCACTTGCTTGTTTTGCCATTTCAAAACTTGGGTTTTCTTTACCTTCTTCCCTTTCTTCATGGGTTTCGCTAGTTTTCTTTACCTTCTTCCCTTTCTTCATGGGTTTGAAAATTTTGATGTTTTAAGACCGATTTGGAATGCCTTGCGTAATAAATGGTCATTTTAAACCTTCTTTTCTTATTTAGTACTAATTAGATTCGTCTGAGACTCGTATTAACTAATTAAGAAAATGATAATAAGTATATAAATAATTTGATACGTAGAATTGAAGTCATGCCAAGAATTTCTTGATAAAGTTCTTTTTTTTTCTTTTTTTAGGGTTGTTTTGGCCGAGGAGCGACGGAGGGGGAAAAGAAACGGGGAATTTGGAGAAGGGTGAAAGAGAGAGTTATGTGGTGGATGAACAAAAGAAAATGGTGATTGGTTCCAGGCCGCCGGGGTGTGAGAACAAGTGCAAGAGTTGCAGGCCGTGCATGGCGGCGGCGGTGGTGCCGGCGCATAGGAAGAAATGGTTCAAAGCATTTGTTCCGTCGTCTGCAGTTGAAGATGATAGCTACTATCTTCTCTCGTGGAAATGCCGATGTGGGAATAAGATCTATCAGCCCTAGCACCATCATGGGACTGGGAATTTTATGTATTTATTTTATTTTATTTTATTTTGATGGTAATGTTATATAATAAATAAAGAGAAGATATTAACTACTAAGGTCAATTCTTTTTTATTTTTTATTTTTATTATTTGTTCCTCTACTTATTTATTTTCCTACATTCTTTTTCTTTTTTCTTTTTACTTATTCTTTTATTTTCTTTATTATTTTTGTAAAGTATATTTAATTGATTCAAATTTAAATTATAATTAATAGCAATAAACTATAATTAAAAAAGTAATTATTTTATTCATTACAAAATAAATTCAAAAGCCTAAAATTTAAAGTATAGGTATGAAAATTAAATTAGTTAAAATAATTTTAATAGTTTCGCTTAACAAAAATAAAATAGTTAACAACATTTAATTATATAAAATTAAATAATGTATCAAAATAGTGTTGAAAATAATTTTTATGCAACATAAAATACATTTGTCGAGTTTGAGCATAAGCTCTCGTGGCTTTGTTTTAGGCTTCCTAAAAGGCCTCACTCCAATGGAGAGCGTATTCTTTGTTTATAAACCCATGATCATTCTCTAAATTAGCCGATGTGGGACTTTCATCATTCAACCGTTTGATTTTAGTTGTTCTACTTTTAGACATTTCTTTCTAGAACTTATGTTCAAAGTAGACAATATCATACCATTGTGGAGAGTCTTAATTACTAACATGGTACCAAAGCCATCCTCTAAACTTAGCCATGACAATAGATCCCTCAAATATCAAACAAAGAATTGTGAGCTTCGAAGGTGTAGTCAAAAGTGACGAAAGTGTTGAACAAAGGATGTACTTTGTTCGATGACTCTAGAGGAAGTAGTCGAGCCTTGATTAAGGGGAGGCTATTCGAGAGCTCCATATAAGCCTCAAGAGATGTTTATAGTGTACTTTGTTCGAGGATTATTGAGGATTATTGGGAGTGAGTATCAGTTAATTTAGTGGAATATCACGAGGTTTCTAAGTGAGACCCAACAAAGATTACCCAATGAATTTGGGCCGGCCCATATGGCTAAAGCACATACTGTAAAGGACTAACAAGAAGTGGACAGAGACATGGAATCATAGTCGACTTTTCTCTCCTCACAATGGCAGCGCCCTCTCTCTCTACTTCGAACGCTCTCTACCATCCTTCACGGGCCGTTACCGCCCCCGCAATCGCCATTCCTCTCTTCTCAAGCTTCCATGCTCCTCCGGAAATTTCCTTCTCTCCGCTTCATCATCGCCGTTCATCTCTCTTGCTCTCTTCTAATCCCCGTGCTAAATCCGCCGTTTGTACAGCAGCAGTACGCCCGCCTCCGGACTCCGATCCGCCTCCTGACGAGGATCCGATTCGTCTAAAAGGTTACTATTCTTTGCTGGTGTTTTTCGTGCTTAATTCATTTATTGGACTGAACTGCTCGTGTTAAGGCTTAGAAATTTTAGTGCATAGAGCTTGGTTATGTGTTTACTTATTTCTATTTCGTTTTTCCATGAACGGTTGAGGAGTTCGCGTTATCCTTATCCCTATGGCATGCCTTCATAACCGAAAATAAAAATTATTAGCTCTTGAATTTTGCTCAGATTGTGCTAGACTGCTAGTGGTCCTTATTTCTCGATTGCTACAACTAATAACAGTGTTATTTATCCATTTGAGTTCTGGTTGTTTAGAAGCTAATCGTCCATAAATAGTTTTCGTTTTTTCAGTCATCTGGAAATTTGTTCCTCTAGGTCTGCAGATACATATGTGCTTAGCAATTATATATAATTTTCTCGTGATTTATTTTGAAGGTTTGTTAGATAGAAAGTTCTGCTCAATACGTCATAGATATGTTGAAATCTCAACGGAAAAGAAATAATGGTATTTGGAGTGTGCGATTCATTAGGTTCAACTACTCCGTAATCATTTTTCTTTAACCGCGTCAGCAAAGTTCAATTGTCAATTTTAATGAGCAATTCGTAAACATATCTGAGTATAGATGTTGAGCTGCAAATATAAACCCATTTCCCCCTCCATAACAACAGTTCTATATTTGCTTTAGCGATTTCTTAGGATTCAACTTTCCGATTGTAAGATGAAGTGTCTTCTTCTTTTCTAGCCCCTTATCGTATAGCTGCTGGAGACTTTTGGTCTTTGATGATGATTCCCCGCTGAAGTTGAAGTTGTTTGGCTTGGATAACTTAGGCCTTTGATAATCATTTGGCTTCCGGAAATTGTGTTTGATTTCTTATTAATTCTCTACTATGAGTTTCATCTTTCTTAACCAAACATTTAAAGTTTTAGCCAAATTCCAAAAACAGTAACATGTTTTAAATATATATATATTTTTTTTTAAAGTTTTCAAAACTTGACTGGTTTTTTAAAGCATAGATAACAAAATAAAGGAATTCATAGGCCAAAGTAATATTTATAGACTTAAATTTCAAAAATCAAACTGTTATCAAACAAGATTTTAATTTTTCTTTCAATTCATTTTTTGACACTCCCTTGGCCAAATATTAATTTTGGTTCATGATGCCTAACATGTGATCATTTAGTATGAAATAGGATGAATTGGAAAGGATATTCCGGTGATTTGAGACGTATCTAGGTTTTCTACCTTAAATTAGCTCTTTCCAAACTTCTTTTTTGTAACTATAGCTTCTTGATTATAGCCAATTGGAGTGTTTTTCTGCAGTTTTCTTGCATTCTGGGAGATTGTTAAGCTTCATCGTCTATTAGATTAAAACTGTTGGTGTTGGTAATACTCTGAAATTCTACCGAGTCATTATATATTTTTGATGTTAGAACTTAGTACTAATTTTCTTGCATGTAATTCATATTGCAACTTGTTTGGTCTATTTTGAATTGCTTTGTTCATGCTGAGGTTCTTTGATGTGGATGAACTATGTTTCCTTGTTTCTCTTCGTATTATAATTTGAGCAGGTTTTCCAGCAATTTTCTCAAAATTTGGAGACAGAGTACAGATTTTCTTTGCTGTGTTATTCTGGATGTCCCTCTTCTTCTGGACTTCTGCATTGGATGGAAAAAATAGACCTAATAAGGGCTCTCGATTTAGACGATAGTTTCGTAAAAAAAGCATTCTTTTGTAAAGGATTGCAGGTTAATATAAATAGTGTTAAGCTGCTTGATTTTACTATGTTCAAGATATATAGAAGCCTTAGACGAGGTAGATAAAGCTTGCTCAATTAGATGTTGATACCAAAAGTAAACTGTCATGGAAAGCCCTATTCTGTATCATATTCTTATCAAGTGTCTTAAAAATTTCCTGAATCCTACTCTAATTGTTAACTTTTTTTCTTTTTTGAACCCTTGCGTAGGGCTATGCAAGTGCACATCATCCTCGTATTGGGTCATGCCAATTTTCTTTGTTTCGTTTCAACTTCTCCGATGCCTCTAGAGTGACAACGACCAATCTTTTTCACTAATAAGTTCCAATTTTGTATAGATTGTTCTGGTAGGTGTTTTCTTTGACAGGGATTTGGTTGATGGATGTACAAGATTGTCTACGAGGGTTGCAGTTGAAACATTTGGAATAATTAGAAGTCTTTGCCACAACCTGGTTGACACATTGCCCGTAGTTATACGTATGGCTAGAATTTATTTTTGCATTAAATAAATTTTAAAAGTAGTGGTCAAATTGTATTTTGCTAGGTTTCTGAGAAGCTCAAAGTACTTGAGCTTTTAGTAGAGTCAATGGCTTTAAAAAAATTAAAAATAAAAAACAATAAAATTAATTTGTTATTTCTAATGTTACCCAAATTTATCTAGAGTCATGGTCCGACCCTTCTCTTGTGTCTTTTATTGACGACATTGGAGGTCAAAAGTTCATTTTTACAATCCAAATATTTTAAATGATAAATTTGTTCATGTTTTTCTATCGAGTATCGAACTTTTTAAATGTTTTATATTATAATCTAACACTTGAAAACCATGATTAAACCTAAATTTCAAATTTATCTAATTATCTTAATATATACAAGGATTAACATGTTTGAAACTATAAGAACGGTAAACAAAAATTAATTATTAAAAAGATTTAATTAAAATTTACATCAATCTTACAAGTTAGCCAAATTTATTATTCTGATATTAGAAAAAGTCTCAAAACAATATACCTTAATAAAGTATATGAATTATGTCAACAAGGTATTTAGAGTAAACTTTATCTTACCGACGTAGTTTCGTCTCAAAATTATGCCAATTTTGCCCTTCCATGTAAAAAAAAATTATAAAATAGATGAATTCCATTTTTTTTTTTGGAAAAATTATATATATATATATATATATAATATTGAACTTTGTAATTTATCTAATTTTTAAAAAATAATATTTTAGTAAAATTAAATCTCTTAAAAGATTATCTCTACAAAATATAGAAAACATTATTAAGCAACAAATCTACAAAATATAGAAAACAATATACATACTTGAGATTTTCTTCGAACAAGAAATTAAAAATTTGAAGAAACAAACAAAATTGATGTAAAATGAGCATCATCCCATAGCCCCTATAAAAGCTCAACTTGCCACTTCAGTTGTAAGAAAGGAGGCATACATGCAGTCTTCTGGCTCTCCCACTTTTGCTTCCATTAACTTCCATCAACAACTTGTCCTTCTTCTTCAGTTCACACAAATCAATCCTTCAATCCCCTCTCAAATTCCTTGTTTCGTAGCGCTTAATGATGCTGTTGAGAAATTCTTCAACCCCGATTCTTAATTCTTGGCTTCACCAATCCAAATCCTCCCCTTCAGAATCGGACCAAATCCTCCCGTTTCGAAGAACCAAATCGCTTTCGTTTACAGCCTCTTTTCACCCTCCACCGCCTTTATCCAATGATTCAGCGAAGAGGGTAACCCAAAATCTGCTAGAATTAGATATTACAGATCCCAGAAAGAAGATTTCATTACCCAAGAGCTCTAAATTTCAATCGGGAGTAAAATCAGTTCGAGATCAAGATCTCAGACCCACTTCAGATTCGCCGTCGTCTTCGATTCCTGGAGTGTTTTTGAATTCTGGGTTGGGTCTGAAAGTGCCAAATGATGAGGTTCGCGATGAATGCGTTCTGCAGATGCTGGTGGTCGACGCCGGAACGGGAAGCGACGGCGGCCGGGTGTGTGGCGGAGGAGGAGGTGGAAGCGGCGGAAGAGGTTCCAACGGCGGTGGTGGAGGGGATTCTGATAAGTCAGGGTTTAACCATAGCACAGATGCTTATTATCAGAAGATGATTGAAGCCAACCCTAACAATGCTCTTCTACTTGGAAATTATGCTAAGTTCTTGAAAAAGGTACTTCAATTAGCTTGACATCTCTTGGAAATTTCTTCAATGGCAGCCCCTTCTGATTCTGCTCTGCCGTTTAGGTTCATGGAGATTTTGCCAAAGCCGAAGAGTTTTGTGAAAGGGCAATTCTGGCTGATCCAAATGATTCAAGTGTTCTATCGCTTTATGCTGATCTTATTTGGCATACACAGAAGGATGCTCAACGAGCTGTGACGTATTTTGATCAAGCTGTTCAAAGTTCCCCCGATGATTGGTAAGAATCTGAAAGCATTTAAGTTGATTTCTTAGCTCAGTTAGAACAGATTGGAAATCTTATCTTGTGGGCTGATTGATTCTGGTTCATTTGTTTACTTTTGATTGATTTTGATGATGGATCAAGATGATTATGGCCATGAATACAAGAACATGAACAGATTCTGAGTTCAGTTTTGATATCGATTCCATTCTTGTTTGTGTCATTTCTTCGAGAGTTTAGACAGATATCTCTGTTCATATATGGATCAAGTTGATTATGGCTATGAATACAAGAACATGAACAGATTCGGAGTTCAATTTCGATATCGATTCCATTCTTGATTGAGTCATTTCTTCAAGAGTTGACATAGCTATCTCTGTTCATTACATTTCATAATTGGAATCTCTCAATGAGGCTTGTTAAGTTATGTCATACAAGTTCTTGTTCAAGCATTGAAATGGAGAGAATCTTTCTTAGCTGTTTGCTTCTCTGTTTGTGATATTGCTTCAAAATTGATTTAGTTGCAAATCTTTCTCTATTTACAGCTATCTTCTAGCTTCATACGCACGGTTTCTCTGGGATACCGATGTCGACGAAGAAGACGATATGCCCCAGCAGTATGAAACAGAGGAAAGGCATCCGTCTCGGCCCGGTTTCTCACATGGAGCTCCTCACCATTCTCCTCTGGCTGCATCTTCCTAATCTCATCAAATATATAACTCACTACTACTTTCCTTGCCACTGTAAGATATCTTCAATAAACCATAATCTCATTACCGTCTTTTGCTTTAGTACATGTGTATGAACATGATTCTCTCACTTGTGACCCTTTCTATAACTCATAAAATGTAAAAAGTTCATAAATAAACCCACTTTTGAAGCCCCTTTTGCCTGTCTGATCCATGGAGGAAGATTTGGCCTTGCTTTCTCTGTACCTTTATGACAAAGTTACCAATTTGAAGAATCAGGGTGTTGTGTTAATCACCGTCGACACTCGAACGATTGGGATTGGACATGGGTGTACGAGATCTCGATCCTAATCGGACTAAGAATGACTGATGTTGATGCCCGAACAATCGAGATTGGACATGGGTGTACGAGATCTCGATCCTAATCGGACTAACAATGACTGTTGTTGATGCTCAAACGATCGAGATTGGACATGGGTGTACGAGATCTCGATCCTGATTGGAGTAACAATGACCCTTGATGCCCGATGGATTGAGGTTGGATATGGGTGTACGAGGTCTCGATCTTGATTGAACTAACAATGACTGTTGTTGATGGCCAAACGATCGAGATTGGACATGGGTGTACGGGACCTCGATCCTGATCGGAGTAACAATGACTGCTGTTGATGCCCGAACGATCGAGGTTGGACATGGGTGTACGGGATGATCTCGATCCTGATCGGAATATGATTTTGTTGCAATAAGATGTTTTTGTTGTATGATATTCTTTGTTTGTGGCAGTGTCATTATTTTTCATGCATCAGCCAAGCTGTCCAAAGCATGTTTTTAAATATTTTTTAATGTTTTAATATCAAATTAAGGTTTGTATTATTATTATTATTTAATCTTATGGTTAGTATTATATAGCTGATTTATATTATAATTTCTCAAACAGCTATACAATATTATCACTAATAAAAAAAGCAGCCACATGTATATTATTTTAATCAGTTAATTAAGAAATTAATTGGGTTTAAGCCTATTGTAATCTTCTAATCCACTTATCTCCACTTGCCTATTTCAACAAATTGATTGGTGGTTGAGTTCAAATTTCTAAAAATTTTGATAAAAAAACAACCGTTAATTAAGATGGATAACGCATACCCAGGATTAGATTCGGCACTTGATGATCTCGGCATTCCCCAACGATATGGTTAGGTCCTCCTCGCTTCTTAGGAGTGAAAGATATCCACACAGACCAACACGAATATTTTCAGCATGTTTTGTCCTTAACTCGCATGCATTTCCAGTCACTCAACATAGGACTGTCATGTTTTGTCCTTACTCGCATGCATTTTCAGTCACTCAACATAAGGCTGTCATGTTTTGTTCTCACTCACATGCATTTCCAGTCACTCAACATAGGACTGTCCTAGTAAAACACGGTTAACCATAAAAGAAACGCCTTGTTGATAGGAAGTAACTTTCTTGTCAAGCCCTTTTTAGTCATTTTATCTTCGGATTGCTTTTTTCGGATGTAGTTTCGATTCATTCATGTAACTCTCCTTCACTCACGTAAAATATATAAACTGATTTGTCTTTAACAAGTGTTTGTAAATTTTAGTTAGTATTTAAAATTGAAAATTAAATTGCTAAATTTATAATTTTAAAAATTTAAGAACTAAATAAATATAATTCTCAAAATTTTAAAACTAAATTTATAATTTAACCAAAAACAAATTAACAATACAAAATTTCTATAATTTATCTAAAAATCATTTTATGTTTATCATATTTTAATCGATTAATTATTGGTTTCACTTCAATCACCGTTTAATTTATTAATTTATTAGATTAGACATGATTACCCTTTAAAAGGACAACCATGAGTTGACCTTAACAATATTTGAATCGACATGTTCGCTCGGTTCAATAAGCTCATCGTTGTACTAACCTAAACAAACATAACATAAGTATATATAATCTCTCACATAAAAAAGTGAAAATTTTAATTTTTTTTCAAAAAAATATATTTTTTTTAATTTACATATCATAGTTTTAAACTAATAAAAAATTTAAGTGATATAAACAATCAAATAAAGTTTAAAATAGAAATACTTTATAAACCTTCTAATATCAATGGTTTTGTTGAGTAAAAATAATTAAAAAAAACATCAAAATTTTAAAACTAACGTTCCATTAGAAATATAATTGACTCATCAAAACCCAACCCAAACGTTGGTTCAATGGTTCAATGAGGTTGCACCGACTTGACCCAAGCCTAATTAGTGTTTTAAGCATGTCAGTTTTGTGCATGAGCCGAGTTTGAACCTATATCTTTTAAGGTCGAGCCGATTCAATCTAGACTAATTATGAAGAAAAAGTTTGAAATGATGATTAAAGCTAGTTCTAATATTTATACATGGAGTTGGAATAAAATTCTAAAGCCGAGTTACTAATATTTTAATGATAAATTAAATTTAAATTTGACAATAATATCACAATCAAGGGAGATTAGGTTGAAAATAATGTGTTTTTTTAATTACATACCTAACCTAAAGAAACATACATGATAAAAGCTATTAATTAATTTATAAAAAAAAATTATTAGGTGGTAAGTCAATTTTTGTATCTATTAATTATATAGTTTCTATATCTTATAATAAATTGCAATTCATTTTTCTACTCAATATATATGTATATATGTATGATGTAATGGTGATATTAATTATAAGTTGAAAACAATAGCAAATTAAAGTACAAATAATGTACGCTTACACAATTTTTATAAAATAAAATTTGATCGAAATTTTTTAAATCCATTATTGTTGTAATGCTAATCCTCATATTTGTTAATAAAATTTGAACATAAATAAAATAAAATAATAAACGAGGATGGGACAAATTATAGTCCCCACACCTTGCTTGCAACATTTAAATTATTTATTATTATAATAGTAAATAAGTTGTTAAATGTGTTATATTATTAAAATTTGTCATATATATATAAAGATTTGTTATTATAGTTGATAATAAATATAAAAATAAAAATGATATAAATTTCAAGCAAAAAAGAAAAGATTTGATTCCGAAAAAATAAATGGAAAAGTTTAATAAGATAATAATTATGCAAATTATTCTATCACATCTTATTAGGTTGTTAATTATATTTTTGGCAACACGTTTTTTTTAAGAGAAAAAAAAAGGGTTTTAAGTAATGTTGACCAACAAAATTAGCTATAAATACTCCCTCAAAAGCTACTTTATTATATCTTCATTTGCTTTTAGAATTTTTATTATTCTAAAAAAAATATTTTTAATTTTAAAGTTAATTTCTAAAATTTTAATCGATAGTCACGTATAAATACTTTAAACCCAATTATAAATTGAAAAATTAGGATAATATATTATGCCAAAATAAAAAATAAAAAAATAGAGTTTATTAAGCACAAAATTTAAAATATGTTTAATAGATAATTTATTTCTTTTTAAATATTAGATTTATCCACCTTAAAATTAAAAAATCTATTTAATTATTTAAATTTGTATTTGATAATTGATTTGAAAACTCTTATAGTTGCTAAAATTTAATTTAATTTAAAAAATATATATGGTAAAACAAGTAGTATTTATTTTAAAAAAAAAAACTCATTTTATTCACAATTTTAGAAGCAAAATTTCAAAGAGGGCCCACCAAGAATAATAATATTACGCGAATATATAGATGCAACCTTACTAAACACGTGGCGGCAGGAGAGTGGATGATAAAAGACCCGAATTGGAAAGGAGAAAAAGAGAAATAAAGGGGAGAATCGTGGGCGGACCTGAAAGTGAGATTCCAATACAGTTGATAAGCGACCTTATCCAAAAACGCTATTCACTCTTCCACGTGTGCCGTCATTTTTTTCCACTCCCCCACCGCCGCGTGGCTTCACATTTATCATTTTATAAAATAAAATCATTAAATTTAATATATATATTATTTTACATCACAATATTTTAAAAGAATATCGAAAATATTATAAATTTATTAGAAAAAAAACCGTACAAATTAAAAAATTTTATAGACAAAATTTAAAATCTAAGTATATTTACTTTAAACCCCGAATGGTATTTTTCAATTGAGTCAATATTATTTATTTCATTAATTTTAAAGTAGAAAATTAAATAATTGGTCTATAATATTATAATTTGTGTATTATCTATTAACTAAACTTAGATTGACGTCCATAAATATTTAAATTAATATGATATATTAAAAAAATAATAATTCATCTTCTAAATAATTAAATATTATGTAAATTTATAATCAAAAGACCATTTATGTTTAATAGAATTAAAAAACAGGATTGCATAATTGATAATATTTAAACCATAAGAATTAAAATGGACAAAACAAATAATAGAAATTAAACTATAGGGACGTGGGTTTCACGGCCATTGTCTGGCGCGTGTATTGACCGTTTTGTTCGCTAAAAAATGTGTTTTGGTGAGTCAAACGCGGCTAATGGTTTCTAACTGGTTGGTTCCTTGATTAAAGAAACTTAGCAAAAGATTTAGAATCAAAATATGGATTAGGGATCACTTAATTCATTGGGGTTTATTTATTTGTTTTTTTTTTTTAATTTATAAATTACTCTGTGAGCAAAATTTGTATGGATAAAAGTGAATGGAGAGAGATAAGGCAAGGCATCACTTATTGGCGAAGCTAAGCTCTAAACTTTCATGAAGCTTCGACCCCTCTTGATTTAACCCATAAATGCGTCTTAATCTTAATCTTAATCCTAATCTAGAGAGAGAGTGAAGAGAGAGAGAGAGAGTTTATAGAAGAGTTTTGACTCTCAAAGGCCTAAGCGAATTGAAAGTTTTGTGTTGTTTGCAAGTGGGAAAAAGAGATGGAAGACGAAGTGGGAGTGCAGAGCAAAGAAGAGCTTCAAAACCCAGTTGAAGGAGGAGCTAAAGATGAAGTTTCTGCTCATCTTCCAGCTCCACCTTCTTGGAAGAAACTGGTTTTTTTTTTCACCCTCTTTTTTCTTCCGTGTTCTTGTGTTTTTATCTTTTTGATTCTTTTTATTTCTTTGTTTTTCTGTTGGATCTGTTTCTGGGTGTCTCTAATTTTTGCTTGATTCTCTGTTTTTGACGTTGGTATTAATCTGTTCTTGGTGAATTGTGGTTGCTGCTGTGTTTTTAGTTCTAGGGTTTGTCAATGTCCTTCGCTCTTTGCCTTTGTGATTAGGGTTTTTCCTGATTTGGGAAGTGTTTGCCTTACAAATTGGCTGCTTCTGCTCATAGTTTCTGCCCTTTTTGATGCTATTTAGGGCTTGGCTTCAGGAAATTCAGGAAGATTTAGAGATATTTAGGGAAGAAAAACAGGGCTTTCTCTTTCAAAAGTTAATCAATTCTATAAGAATCAGGTTAGGATGTGTGCCTTACAGATTCACAAATCTGTAATCACATTCTGCTAACCTTAGAAACAGAGGAGCTCCAGTACAAGCTAATGAGCTATCTCAACAGGAAAAGCCCACATTCGAAGCGAATCACCCCTAATACGACTCGCTTCAGGCGCATGTCTCGGTTCTTGAAGTCCTAATTGGGGTCGAGAAAAAGAGAGATTAGGGGTGAGAGTGGGGAGAGATTTCTACCCGTTAGCTAAACAGGGCTAGGGATGGAAATTCCCGTTTCCTCGTCCCCTGCCCTGTCCCTTGGACATCTATGTATATATATGTATGTATGGCTTCCCTAACCCTGCCCGACCCCGTGGACGTATTTTAGTGTGCCCCATGCTTTTACAACACGGACGAGAGGGGGAATTAAAGATTTGTTTTCCTTTTTTAACCTGAAAACTGTGTTCCCTTGACTGAGGATAACGTTTATTACTTGCACCAGCTGGTTCTTGTTGTGAAAAATCATTCTGGGTCTGAATGATTCTATTTTTCCCTTTCATTCTTTGGCTTTGATGATGATAATCATGATAGTTCCTGTTTTATTTCATTCCAGTTATCACCCAAGAAGGGAGGTACACCAAGAAAGAACGAAGTCATATTCATAGCACCGACTGGCGAGGAGATCAGTAATCGAAAACAGCTCGAGCAGTACTTGAAATCACACCCTGTAGATGTTGCATTATCGGATTTTGATTGGAGTACTGGTGAGACGCCTCGGAGATCTGCTAGGATTAGTGAGAAGGCTAAGACAACGCCTCCCCCACAGGAAGATCCCCCAAGGAAACGAGCTAGAAAGTCTCCCGGCTCGAAAAAGAAGGAAGCTAAGAACTCTGAGGGTGTAAAGGAAACTGATGTTAAAGATGTCGAAATGTCCGAGAAGGAGCACGCTGAAATCAAGAAAGAAAAGGATAAAGAGCCTAAAATGGTTGATGAAACAAAAGAAAAAGAAACTGAAAATGCCAAGGATGAAGAGCCTGAAAAAGACATTGAAACTGCCAAGGATGAACAGGCCAAGAAGGAAGACGAAACAAAAGACAAGGAAATTGAAACGGCCAAGGATGAACAGGCCGAGAACGTTGTCGAAACAAAAGACGAACCCGGCATTGAGAATGTGCCCGGTAACACGACGATAACCAAAAACGGTCAGTTAGATGCTGAAGATGGCAAAGAAGTAGAAGATCAAAGTCATGGTAATGTTCAAAATCAAGAGGTAGCCACAGCTGTTGAAAGTGTGGCATTGGTGGGTGGACAAGATAAAGGGGAAAACAGACCACAAACTGAAGCTGAGAAAGCTAATGAATCATGCTGTATGAAACAGGAAAAGGCAGATGCTAGTAACATCAAGGAAAATGGTGTTGCAGGAACTCCAGCATCCGAGGGAACGATCACGGAAAACGACGATGCACAAAAGCACGACATCCAGGCAAAGGACAGAGTAAACAAAAAGGAGAGCGAGGTGATCGAAACCGGTAAGTAACAAAGTTATACGTCTTCAATACTCCGCTCCCGCTCCCCCCTTCCCCAGTCACCATCACAACTTGCACAGCCAAATGAACATGCCACCACACTTTTGTAAGTTTGAAATTGCTTCAATGACTGTAATTTTAACGTTGTTAAGGCTAGACTTGGTTGCAAAAAGATAACACTTCTGATGTTAGATCGGTTTAGTTTTGTTCTTTATGTTCTTGTTCTAGCTGCTACAATCCAAGCCAACTGATAGCCATTGTTATTGAAACTTGATACCTGTGTATGCCATAAGCATGTCAAATTTACCATCTCTGATATCAGGCATTTGTGTCCGTTGGATCATAATAAATGAAGTAGAAGAAGTTTCCATTACTCTGCCTATCTTGATTTCTTCGTGTTTGAAGTTTTGTAGCGATGAGATCCCACATCGGTTGGAGAGGAGAACGAAGCATTCTTTATAAGGATGTAGAAACCTCTCCCTAGTACACGTGTTTTAAAAACCTTGAAGGGAAGCCCGAGAGGGAAAGCCCAAAGAGGACAATATCGGCTAGCGGTGGGCTTGGACTGTTAAAGCCTAATATTTGCTTGGACACCGGGATGGCTGCTGCTGACTTGGTATTATTAGCTAGTCAATTCTCTGAATGGTCCCTGGCTTAATGGGACACAGTCAGCTTTATATCGTACACTTGTAATGTAAACGGTATTAATGTGTAGATATGAACATAATCATAGTGACATAATGATGATGGACTTTTGGTACAAAATCGTGGAAAAATGGAAGGACGACATCTTTATACTATGAAATCATTGTTTGAGCTCGTTCGGGTTACATTCGGTTCATGACAAAGATTGTTGCTCTATGATAGAGGACGTATTGTGGGACTCTTGATAGCGGAATACTTAGCTAGAGAGGAACAGTTGGATTGTAAGAGGGTCGAGATGCCTACGGGAGGAAGGTTATTAGATTTAATGTCTTTTTGCTTACATCTTACCCGAAATTTTTGTAATCATCAACTCGGTCGAGTTATTTTTGTATATTCTTTCAATTAACACGGTTTCTTACATAAAATATCTTTATCGGTACAAGATTTAAGAAAACTAAAGCTGTTACGAGAAAATGATGAAGAAATTTGTTGAAAAACCGTTCTAAATTTTTTTTCATCTAACGTGTACGATATCAAGAACAAAAAGTCTTGATTTGGTAAGTGAAAGTCTTTGTCGAGAGAAGAAAATACGGAGTTTGAATCGAATAGTCTTGAGAGAAAAGCCAAATTTATGGATTAGAAAGTTCAAAATCGAAGAACATATAGTTTCCACGAAGAAAATGAAAGGTGGCAATGGAAAAACATGAAAGTCTATACCATATTATATAAAATAAAATATGTAACGTTTGGGAAGTTTCATACAACTTTTGTTATGAACCAATGAATAATATTATTTGCATACCACATGTCATGAAAACATAATTTAATATCAATTTTTTAAATACCCGATATCAAATCTTATGATAAATGTGCAGACTTATAAACAATTACTTGTAAGAATACGAAAACCAATGAACCTAACATCTTTCATTAACAAAAGAATAATTGTTAGCGCTTAAAATATATTTGAGCTAAAACGCTAAATAATAATTTGAATAAAGCTCAACTAGTTAGAACAGTTCATCCTCGATCGTAGAGTTGGAGGTTTAAATTTTTATTTTCACGTGTTGAACTAAAAATGTGACATTGAATAATGGTGAGGTAATGAATAAATTGAGAGTGCAGCTGAATGATAGTGATCCTACGAGATCTCACATTGGTTGGGGTGGAGAACAAAACATTTCTTATAAGGGTGGGGAAGTCTCTCCTTAGAAGACATGTTTTAAAATGAAAAACCCAGAGGAAAAGACAATATCTGCTAGTCATGGGCTTGGGCTCCTACCGGTCTTGATGATAGGATGAATAAGAAATCTTAAAAGAATTGACGGTGATATGTAACATGTCAAAATGGACAAAATGTACTAGTGATGGGATTGAGCTTCTACAAATGGTATCAGAGTCAGACACCGAACAATGTGCTAACGAGGACGCTTGATCTCCAAGTGGGGATTAGACTGCTACAAATTGATCTTATAAGGGTATGAAACCCCAAAAGGTTATCTTGACAATAATTTTACTCTAAGAAGCAAAAAGTAAATAATGTGATCGTGCTACAGAGAAATGTTGTCAAATCTAAGTTTTTATTTCTCCGAAAATCATATGGAATACCTAATAAATCTATATGAGCTCTCAAATAAATGTTTGAAAAAAAGTCATAATTTTAATTTTCAACTTTTCATCAACAAATCAACAACAATTAGTGTAAAAAAAAAGACCAAATCAAACTTAGAACTCTCTGCAATTCATATTATTTAAAAGAAAATAAAAGCTTACACAAATAAGTCTCCACAAAAGACTCAATTTTTCAACTAAAATTAATATGAACAACAAAACAAAATCCACACGGATTCAAACCCTTCTACTTCCAAACTTTACTTTTCCATTCTATAAATATTATTTACCTTTTCACATTCACAAGCAGCCCCCAATCGTTGATCATTCTAAAGCACATATCCAGACTTTGACCGGCGCTGCCCCCTGGCAGTGACCGAAGCTTCTCGTCGTCTTCGTTGCATCACCGTACAATACTTCAATCTTATGCTTATCTTCTCTTTTACTTTTCAATCCAATTTCATTATAAATAATACCCATTACTCTTCTCCACATTTCATCTTCATATTCGCTTGCAGATTAACAGAGGAAGAACTAAAAATGGCCGCCAAAGTCGCTCTTGTTCTGGGTTTTGCTCTGTTTTTGTTCCTTCATCACTCCGCCGCTCAGACCGTTCATGTCGTCGGTGACTCCACCGGCTGGAGAATCCCTCCTACCGCTGATTTCTACGCTAAATGGGCCACTGGTAAAACTTTCACCGTCGGTGATTCTTTGGGTAAGGAATTTACAGCTCTGTTTCTCTAAAATCCTCTGTTTCTCTAAAATCCTCTGTTTCTCTAGCTGAAACTGATGAAATTATGAATTGGGCTTTTGTTGTTGTAGTGTTTAATTTCACTACGGATAGGGATGATGTTACGAGAGTACCGAAAGCGTCGTTTGATATGTGCAGTGACGACAATGAAATCGGCGACTCCATTGAAATTGGACCAGCAACCATGCGTCTCACAACTGCAGGGGAACATTATTTCATCAGCTCTGAGGATACTCACTGTCAACAAGGTCAAAAGTTAGCTATCAATGTCACCGCCGCCCCCGCCGCCCCGATAACTCCAACGCCGCCTTCTACCAAAGCTCCTCCCCCAACCTCCGGACGCGCTCCCGTGACCCATGTCGTCGGAGACGCTACTGGCTGGCGCATTCCTCAGGGCGGCAACATGTTCTACGTCAACTGGGCTACCGGAAAGGAATTCGTTGTCGGCGATTCTCTCTGTAAGAATCTGAGCTCTTCTTCGATTGAATTGAGGTTTTGAAATTGAAATTTGTGAATCACCCAATAACCCAATTCTGTTGCAGTGTTCAATTTTTCAGCCGGGGACGATGTAGTTAGAGTGACGAAGAGATCCTTCGATTTATGTAGCGACGACGATGACATCGGCGAGGACATCGACGTTAGCCCTGCAAGGTTCTTCTTCAACGCTCCCGGCGAGTATTATTTCATTAGCAGCGAGGATGGGCACTGCCAGCAAGGTCAGAAATTAGCAATCAATGTTACAGCCGCTGCCTCTGGACCTATGCCTCCACCGTCCAACGCTCGTCCACCACCCCCAAAGCCAGCTCCAGTGACCCATGTCGTCGGAGACGCCGTCGGATGGACCGTCCCACAAGGGGGCGCTGCTTTCTACACCAACTGGGCTGCCGGCAAGACATTCGCCGTCGGCGATTCTCTAGGTAAGTTCGATTTCAATTAATGATAAAATAGAATTCTGGGTCTAACAATGTTGAACGACAGTTCTATCAAGTCTGATTGGTTATCAAATTTTTTATAATCTCGAGTAATTTATGAGTTCAATACATCCTATTTAAGAGACTTTGCTTATAATCCGACAATCATTTATTTACCGACATTTAAATTTGTCGTTGCAGTGTTCAATTTCCGATCCGAAGTACACGATGTGCAAAGAGTAACAAAGAGATCGTTCGATATATGTAGCGACGACGACGAGATTGGCGACAGCATCGACTCGAGCCCTGCAACGATGGTGCTCGCCGCTCCCGGCGAGCATTACTACATCAGCACGGAGAACCAAGACTGTGAATTAGGTCAAAAATTAGCAATCAATGTTGTCGCCTCCAGATCCAACGTTCCTGCAACCTCCATTGCAACATCTCCAAGCTCCGGTCCAGCGTCGAGCCCCGGCGGCAGCGGCAGCGGCTCACCGTTTTCCTCCGCTAACACCGTCGCCGCCGCTCTCTCCGCCACATTGTTTGGCCTAGTTTTGAACTTCTTCTAGATACTTCCCTACTTTGACTGGTTCTCCTTGTTTAATAATTATTATATTTTATTATTTTCTTTTTGTTGTTATTATTTGAGTGCTTGGCTGTGTCATTCCGGTCACGGCCATATTTATGTCGACGTGTCGTGCTGTATTTTGTCATTTATTTATAAATAAATAAATCATTTAATTTACACTTTATCTATATATAATTTCTTTTTATAAAAAATATTACAAAATAATTATTTTTAAAATATTCAAGCAATAGAAGTCTATACATATTAAATAAATAACCTTATTTTATTATTAAATAATTGAGATGCTTTTCCTTTGGGTCCCCACAGTCATTAACCGACTTAATTCATTTGATTTTTGGGCACACATTTATCTTTAAAAAAAATAATATCTTAATTACTAATGATAAAAGGTATTTTTTTTTATTTTAATTTTTTTTAGATAATTTAATTGTATACAGTTTTTTTTTTTAAAAAAAAAAAAAACCTTAAATGATTTAATATTTTATTTTTATCCGTTCACTTTATATTTATTTTATATGTTAGTTTATATGGAGGTCGGCAATGATATTAAATGTAGAATCACGATCCTATTGTCCATTTTGATCTTGGGCTCTCGTAACTTTATTTTAGACTTCCTCAAAACGCCTCGTACTAATGGAGAAGCTTGTCCACAATCAAGGTAACTTTATTTAACGTTCGTTTTGATTCGTTTCATTTCAATGATTGTTGGTAAATGGGTAATTAGAAAGTTGGTGTATGCTATTTGATTCTAGTCTTTGGTTTCCTAAATGGACTTACTCGTGACAACCTTTTGGCTGGGCAATGACCTATACGTTTTCTTATTTTGTTCTCTACTTTTCGAACACCAAGCCAAAAAAACATATATATTGTTGCACGTGTTTGTATAACTTATTTATCAAGGAAGTAAAGTATGTCTATTTATAAAAAAAGATTTAAAAAAAAAATGAAACTAACTAATCCTCTAAGGAAGAGGAAACATAAAGGAAAAGCTAACAAATCCTCTAACTAATAAGAAACAATGAAACAGAAGGAGACGAAGAGAAGTGACTAAAACGGGTCAAATCGGGTCTCGGATCCTTTGGTTTGTCGGCGGCTTCTAATATGGGCCTAAAATTATGTATAGTCTTGTTGGGCCTCCACAGTTTTAAAAAGCCCAGCCCATTAACAAAAGGAATAAATAAAACGAATTTGCGGCATGGATCGATCAAACACGCGACCTTCAGATCTTCACAAGTGAGCTATCCCTGCAACTTGTTGCATCCTATAACTATAGATTATATTTTAAAATTTCAGAAAATTTAGGTTTTCGAATTTTTATTTTTTTTACTTTTAATCTCGTTGTTAATGAATGTCAAAAACTCAGATCGACATACTATTTAAAGAATTAATCTAAATTTAGAAAATAAAAAATGTCATCGAGCTCTAAATTTTTAAAGATAGGTTTGAGAGTGATTTTAAAATATTTAAAATAATTTATCGTATTAAAAACTTACTCTACTCAAACGCTTATAATTATTCGAATTCAATATTTATGGTATGAAAATCTCATTTATAATTATAAAAACAAATACTAAGTTAATTTAAAAAAATTAAAAATATGTTTGAAAGTAATTTTGAGCGTGACAAAAATACTTTTTGAAGTTTTTGTGTAGTAGGTACATTCCTTCTCCTCCATGTTTCATGGCATACAAGTTCAACGTCAACAAATTTAACATTTATTAGACTTAACGAATTAAACTAAAAATTGATATATGAATGGATCGAAACCAAACTATAACACATATTTGATCTAAATAAAATACATCACTTCATTTATGCTTAACCTTCAAACAACAGTTTACTTTTTTCTTTTCAAACTCAGATTTTAAAACTTCCAAAAGAATCCCATCGTCCATTTGAGCATTTACTTAGTGGTGATGTTCTTCAGTTGAATGTCAATCAAACTTCATCAAATGGCCAACAAATACCAAATTAAGCCACACACATTCAATTCAACCTCTTGCTTTTTTGTTACCTGATCAAGAGCAAGCTCCCCTGTTCTTGTCACTACAGAAGAAGGCCCATACATACAACAATTTCTTACACTCCCAAGAGAGATTCATTTTCATCTTTCTCATGGGTCGGATTTGCATTTAGAGCACAGCGAATGACAGAGTTCACCTGTGTCCGTAATCGCGCATTTTCGACGAACATATCTGCTAGTATGTTTCTTAATACTTTGTCAGGTGCTCCTTCACATGCCCCATTCGGACTGGCTGATCCAGCCGTGCCATCTGCATCGTGTGCACGAAGCTTCGCCTGTGCGTATGTACCAAAACTTGAAGCGTTAAGGATCAGGATGAACGAAGAATGAGAGAGAATAAAGGGGACGATAGAGAGAGACCCAAATCAAATGCATTTTAAAAGCACCTCAGCTAAAATAAGGCTAATGTGATTATCAGATGTCGCCAATAGATCCATAGCATCATGAGCAGTCGAAGCAGTTTCCAAGATTAATTTATCTCCTTCCTCAATGAAGAAGTCAACACTAGAGTCTTGAAGACGGTATTGAAGAATTTCACAATCATGAAGAAGCTTTTGATTAGCAATCTTGGCTTGCTCCATTCTTTGTCTTTCAGTTTGAAATACCCTCTAAACAAAACAGAAGAAAGGCTACATGTTATTAGAGAGACAAATAAACATTGCATACACGGAGAAAAACTTAATATCTATGTAGGAACCATCTTCTATTGCAGCAATGTAGATCACTAAATCCTTTTCTAAGAAAGTTTCATGACACAATCCATGATATTTGTAAACTTGATACGCATACGATTTTCCCTATTCTACATAATACTCGAAATCAAGCTTAAAATCATTTGAAATTCCTGGAGCCGCAATAACCACGAACTTAAGAAGACCACAAAAGTAGCAAGATACGTTAGACAGATGCCGAGTGGGGCATGAGAGAGGCGCCCGGAATATAAGTTAATTAAGAACATCAATCACAATTTGTCTTTCAGTTTGAAATTCTCTCTACAGAAAACAGATTAAAGACTACATGTTATAGAGAGGCAATAAACATTAGAACAAAGGTAGGTGTGGTGAAGATGCTGGACCAGTATCCTTTGATCAGCTGATTTCCAGGAGAATTATCCGTGAATAGATTGAATATTTGACAGCAAAAGAATCCATCTATTGGCGCCAAGGATGTAAGTCACAGTGGCAACAGGAAGGGGATGAAAACACCAAAAAAAAAAAAAAAAAAACATCGCATTGTGGCGGCCCGAAAGAGGAAAAGTTACGTTATGGAAGTGTTATCAGGTGAAGGGCATAGCCTATTCATATCAAGGGAGACTGAAAAAGAATCCACTGATTTTATCAAGCTTTATACACAAAGGGCACCCCAAATTTCCTCCCTACCAACCTTGGTTGGTGTCCAATAAGTGAAGAGCTAATTATCTGAAGAAGTTTACCAAAGATGAGGTCCTCCTAGCTGTGAATTCTTTGGGATCAAGTAAGTCACCAGGTCCCGATGGTTTTACTTCTGAATTCTTCGAACACTCATGATCACTACCAACAAGACCTTTTAGTTGTGATCGATCTTTTTTATAATTGGGGTATTATAAATGATCCCTTGAATGAAACTTATATAAGCTTGATATCAAAGAAGCTGGATGCAAAATCAGTATCTGATTATCGTCCTATTAGCCTCGTTCCTTGTGCATATAAGATTATTGCTTGGGTTTTGTCAAATAGATTGAATCATATCCTTCACACTATTGCTGAAAACCAAATGATATTGTGGAAAACAGAGAAATCTTGGATGCTTCCCTAGTTACTAATGAGGTTCTTGATGACTGGAATTTCACAAAGTGGGTTGAGATTTTCCGGGTGCACTTCTTTTGGCTAAAGGTTTCGGTCATAGATGGAGGAAATGGATTTGTGGTTGTCCAACTAGTCAGCTTTTCGATCATTATCAACGGAAGGCCTAGAGGTAAGATCATTCTGCCTTGAGGTATTAAACAAGGGGATCCTCATCCAGTGTCTATCATTCTCACTAGGAACCTGCATTGAAACTATAACGACCCAGATCCACCGCTAGCCGATATTGTCCTCTTTGGGCTTTTCCTCAAAGTTTTAAAACGCGTCTGCTAGGGGGAACGTTTCCACACCCTTGTAAATGGTGTTTGGTTCTCCTCCCTAACCAATGTGGGACATCACAGAAACCTAAGCGGGGAAAAGAAGAAATTTACCTCTAATTCTGATTTCTCCTTCGTCAATTGGCTGCACTCCTGCTTCATGTCTAACTGTGTATCTCGAAGAGATTTAATTTCTTTGATAAACAACTCAACATCTGCCTTTGATTTCGTCACAAATTCTTCATATTGTTTTTGCAAGTACTCCAGCTGTACTCTTGAAGCATCCAACTCTTGCAGTAAAAATTTGTTCTCCTCTAAAATGGACATTATTGTCGATTCCATGGGCACCTGTTCATCCTGAAAAAATTTCAAGGCAGTCTATTAGCTCTTTGAAATCTAAGTGACAATGATATCAAACAGGTAATAAAGCAGACAATTGACCCCCTTCAGATTTTAATTTTACATTCATCTTCAGGCATTTCTTTTAAAGTTCTGCCATATTATTTGCATTTGGGAAAAGTCCTCCTTTTTGTTTAAGATTGCATTGATGTTTTCTTTAGAACGTTCTTACTGGCGCTTTTAAGTTACAGTTCCTAGTCTCGAACCGGCTAAAGATATTGGTGAGGGTGCTAGTACAGGATATGTTAAGAATATTAGCAAGGGCATAGTGGCCAAAGTGGACAATATTTGTTATTGGTGGGCTTGAGCTGTTACAAATGATATCAGAGCCAGACACCAGATGGTATGCCAATGAGGACGTTGGACCCCTAAGAGGGGTGGATTGTGAGATCCCACCTCGGTTGGAGAGAGGAACGAAACATTCCTTATAAGGGTGTGGAAGTCTCTCCCTAATAGACGCGTTTTAAAACCATGAGACTAACAGCGATATGTAACGGGCTTGGATTGTTACAAATCTCCAAAATGGGAAGGAAACGAAAATAGAACTCCCAATAAATTTAAGCATCCGATCTTACACATCATGAAGATACTTTAAGTACACATAAATGACCCACAATCAAAAGCACACATACCTTTGATGCAAGGAATCGTCTCACGGAAACGTCTTCCTTAGATCTTACAACAAGATTTTCCAGGCCTGTTCCAGCTTTTTCCGATGCAAGTTTATCCATTCCCAATTCTGCATCCTCATCATCTCTATGTCTTAGAGTTCCAAGTTCAGGTCCCCCATAACAAATATCATCACGTGGACTGGAGGCAACAGAAGAAGCAGCAGCAATAGGCACAGTTGAGCTTGTTAGCGTAATTGGTTGGACCATGATACTATTAGAAGAAACCTCATCAGATGTCTGGTGATCAACATCACTGAAAACTGAAAAATTAAAATGCAAAAACTCAGCAGCCGGTTAATGATATACAACAATAATAGGCAATAATCATCCATCGAACATGTCTAATATGTTCACTTAAATCGTAAGTGGTTGCTCAAGATTTTCATTTAACATGTCAACATGCATCCATATGACACCTACAAGATCTCACAGCAGCTTCCAGTTCAAGAAAACTTGCCACTGGAACACTTCTCGATACATCAATGTCTGACAGAATCTTTTCCATCCATTCCTCCAAGGAAGACCTCCGCTACAATGAAAATATTAATGGCATTTTAGATTATTTTCAGTTCCTTGATTTGATAAGTCATCATTATCAGGCAGAATTGTCAATCATAAAAAATTACATCGTTCCTACTTGATTAAACAGTTTTACCCTTCAGTGATAACGTAAAAAATAAAGAAAAATTGAAACACAAGACTTACTTCATCGTGAAATGTACTGTTTTTCATTCTCAAAACCATTTTTGAAGGAGCTGGAGGCAAATGTTTCTCGGGCAATGTTCTTTTGAGCTACAAAAGATAATGAAGAGCACTAATAAGTTCAAAGCATGCTTAAAGATGAATCTGCCAAATCATGAATGAAGAAAAATTACAGTAACGTCTAAAATTGATATAAATAGTACATAATGAGGACAGTAACAATTTTAAGAAGCATAAGATAATGACTGTGACCTCGTAAAATAGCTCTAGAAACTCATTAAATCTTCTTGATATTCCTCTTGTAGAGGTGATACCTTGTGGGGATTGCAGTCCAACTTGAACCGTGTAAAACTGTAAAGTTTGAATGTTGAGCAGGAGAAAGAAAACATAAAGCTTTTTTACAATATTGAGCACTACAGCCATGTTAAAAACAAATAAGTATCCAGCCAAGAATATAAGCAGTCTATAACAACCTTATAATAACAAGAATACTGCAGATCAAAGTTGAATAGAATAGCAGGCTTACAAAACTAGGAAGATCATAATTTAACAACAGAAAACAAGGAAATTACCACCACAGGAACTGAACCATTTGATTTGGGAATTGTCGTCCAAGAAGGAATCGTGACACAATAACTCCATCCAGTGGGTGGATCATGAGGCCACAGCGTGTGCTGTCCATCCTTTTTTTTAACAAGGAAACAATAAAGTTTTCAATAATACACTACAAAGTATAAAATAGGTAAATAAGGCTGAGAATGAAGTAGCTCACAGCTCAGAATAATCCATTCCAATTAGTAAATATAAATGGACAATAAAAGCAAAAGTAATTTGATAGTGTGCTTGCAGGGGCCAACATAAATGCCAATCTCTAATACTATAGTTAGAAACTCTCTGGTCTGCTTAGCATATACAAATGCAATGTCACCCACTCAGAACTATGGCACATTAGAGGGTACTATTAAGGGAGCTCCGATTGTGCCTAGTAAGGAGTCGGTCTTGCACTATTCTAACCTGAAATGGTATAAGAATAAGAAGCATTGTCAGGTGCCATTAAGGGAGCTTTCGGCTAGTGCTTAGATACTGCTGAGGGAGTTTTGGTTGTGCCTAGTGGAGAGCCAACCTTGCACTGTTCTAGCCTGGAATGGCGTAGTAATAGGGGGCACCATAAGGTGTCATTAGGAGAGTTTCTGGCTAGTGCTGAGTAATAAACATGTATGGAGTTATAGGTAGGTTGAGAGGTCATCTATCGCGAGCAATGAATCTTCCACACCTAGATTACCCTTGTGCCCAAGACATACGAGGGCACCCTGACTTATGCGGAGGAAGCGCGATGACTTGATAGACCTTGGAAAGTAGGAAACTAGCAATAAGTGCACCCTGAAACCCGAATACACTCCGATGGCTGACATACTCCCTTGGAATAGGAGTAAATAGGATATGTGAACCTTATGAGCCCTAAGAGGGCTAGAAACGAACCCAAGCCATGGAATTGACCAACTCTAGGACTCTAACTAAGCACATAGCTTAAGGAACTGTGCAGCTATAGGGATGGCCTTTAGATCGAGTCATCTTTCTTCTTCGTTATTTTAATATTATTTTAATGTCATCTCTTGAAACTTGTGTTATTTTTTTAAACTGCTTTGATGTGATTTCGTGAACGTGATTTTGTATCTTTAAATGCTTTTACGTCAAATTTTACTATTGTGTTTGAATTTCGAAATCCTTGCATGGCGTTTTACAATGTTGAAAAAAATTTACCGCTCTTTTTACCATTGAGTCCACGTGGCAATCCCTGATTCGAAGACTCGAAAAGCAGGTCATTACATTAGTTAAATTCCCATAATGTCAAACCAACGTCATCTTCCATGGTTAAAACCACTTCTTACGTCTCTAAAAAGGTACAAAATAACAGCAAATCAAAAGAATTGACCCAAAAACCCGTAAGAGGGCATAACAAACAACACTCAATGCCCTGACTATAACAAGCCATCGACAATTGATCATTTTTTGGAAGTTTCCAAAGCACAAACCCCAAATCATATCATAAGACATATGAAAGCAGATCAGTATCGATCAACATCCTACTAACAACATGCTAGCTTGCAAGCAGCAGGGCGGTTGAGTGTTAAGAGGTATTTTGCAAGAAACCCAGTATGTAATTCACGAACAACTAAATAAATGGCTTATCCTTTCTTATGCACTTTTTTTCCTTTTTGAAAATAAATCAAGCTATCATTGAGAAGAATGAAAGAATGAACATGGGCATATATAGAACAAATCCACAAAAGGAGTTCCACAACTACCTACAAGAAGGAACTTCCGTCCAAAAGAGTTGAACAAAACTGACAATTACAAAAATTCGCATGGTCAAACACCCATAAAGAGGCATTAAAATGCATACCACAAGATTATGCTCTTATCCCGAAATGAAGAGTTCCCAAGTACCTCCTCAATTGTAGAACATCACCTTTATTAGGGGCTAAACGAAGCCCAAAAGCACTCAAGCACTAACTCTAGGGGAACGAGCGAACTGTCAATGATTAATGTCCTCCTATCACTTCATCCACAGTATTATATATAGCCCAATGAAACGATAGTCAGCTCTAATCATATTCAAATTACCACCGACCTAATCGTAACCAAAAGGTGAAATGTAATGGGGATACTAAATGCAACTAACAACTTCACCCAACTTACAAATTGAACATGGTCATAAAAGGCTAAACCAAAATGGAAAACGGACGGCCATTCAGGACAAAACTCATAATTCAGAATTCCAAAGCTATGACAAGAACACGCAACGCCCAAAATAATGAAAAGAACAATAAAAGATCCGATACCCATTTCTGAGGAGGGGGGCTCCAGTCCATTCCCAATGGAAGAGGCGACGAACCGTCATGCCGGCGATTGGGGGGGCAGCCGGTGGGCATTTCTTCCTTATTTCTTGCAGTCCAGCTAGGACGGTAAACGTCGTCGTCTTCATCGAGGAAGACATTTGAAGAAATAGCGGACGAAGCGCGAAGGCGAGAGAATGACTGGCCGAACGATTCGGAGTGGCCAAAATTAAAATCCAACGGAGACAGGTCATGAGCATAGAAATTCATTTCTAATCAATTTTGTTGTTACCGAATTGCTCGGCAGCCGAAGCAAATCTAGAAATTTGAGATTCCGGCGAAAATGGTCGCCGGAGAGCCGTATTCGCGCCAGTTTTTCACGAAACAGGAGGTTGGCTCTGGAATCGTCCCCAGAGTCAATTCGGCTTTGCTGCCTTTGTCGTGGTTTTGGGGCCGTTTTCGAAGCTTCTGCGGGTTGGACTCGCTTCCAACGGCGAGATATATTTCAAAATTAGTTAATAACAAGATTAAATATTACTTTTATTGATATTCAATGATTTAGTTTTTTAATTATCTAATTATTAGTAATTTAGTTTTCCATTCATTTAGGCTTTATATCGACACTTCTTTCCTATAATATTTTTAAATTATTACAAATTTTAAAATAAGTTGTTAAATATTTAAATTTAAATATTAAATTGTTACCAATTTAAATATTTAAGGATTAAATAATTTTTTAAAAAAAAGGAAAAAAATTAAATTACAAATTTGATATTTATGATTTTTCATTTCATAAATTATTACTAAGTTGCAAGACTAACGTTGTAGGGACTGAAGAGTGATAGACTCAAGATTTGAAAGCATGTGTTTGATCTGTATTCATAACACTAATGATAAAATAAACATGTAAGATGTTTTCAAGTCGTGGGAATAACTTAGTTAAGAGAATATTGATCCACATTAAACACTCATAATCGGATGAATTCAAAAATAGTTTAGTTGGGAGACCATTAGATTGAAGATCTGAAAGTTATGTATTTGATCTACGTTCATAGCATATCAAAATTTCTACGTTAACTCTTTTATGCAAAAGAGAGTTATAACCTTTTTATTGTACCTACAAACATGATGATGAGAGTTGTAGACATTAGGTACCTACAGACATGACAACGTAAAATATACACATCACCTTGAAAACAAATGTATTTATATGGAACACCAATGACCATAGACTACTCTTAGTTGGATTCTCCTCTGCTCGAAGTTTCTTTGTATTTGAAAATGTTGAAAAATGTTAAGTAGGATCATTACATTTTCTATTTTCAACTAAAAATTGTGAGGATAGCCTTGGAACAGTATCAAATTGAAGATCTAAAGGTCACGTGTTTGAATTATGTTCACTGCACATGAACTCTCCTGATACATAATTCATGATTTTATCTTCTCAAAAAATTTCTAGACCCATTGACACACAACATACCAGAATTTTCATTTCAACTCATTTCTCCAAAAAAGAGTAATAGCCTTTTGTTGTACCCACCAAGGTCTCATACATAGTTATGGTTCAACGTTGTGAAGAATCTCTATGCCCATTAACACACTTCATATTAAAATTTTCATGTCAACACATTTATACAAAAATGAGATATAGCCTATAAAAAGATCACCATGATGAAATTCTTGATTCAAACATGTTTCTCAGCAACGCAATGATCCAAGACTACTCATGATAGAGTTTCATTCCAACGAATCTTAAGTTAGCTCATTGCACTTTCAATTTGATATCACAAATTGTGGAGATAGTTTCGTGGGGAGAGAATTAGATTGAAGATCTAAAAATCATGTGTTTAATCCATGTTCACCGCACATGTATACTCTCTTTACTCATGATTCATCTTCAAAAGAGAGTTAGAGTCCTTTGTTGTACCCATACATAACTTATGGTTCATCTTTTTCAAGTATATCTTTAAACTCATTAATGCACATCATATTAGAATTTCCACGTCAACTCATTTTTACACAAGAGAGTTACAAGTTGCAGGAATAGTTCAGTTGGGAAAGCATCAGACTGAAGATTTGAAGGTCACGTGTACAATCCACGTTCACCACACATGTGTATACACTCTATATTCATGAACCATCTGCAAAAAAGAGTTAAAGTCTTTTGTTGTGTACTTGCAAAGGTCACATACATCACTTATGGTTCTTCTTTTTCATGTATATCCCTAAACCCATTAACACACGTCATATTAGAATTTCCACGTCAACTCATTTCTACACATGAGAGTTACCAATTGCAGGGATAGCTCAGTTGGGAGAGTGTTAGACTGAAGATCTGAAGGTCACGTGTTCGATCCACGTTCACCACACATGTCTATACACTCTATATCCATGAACCATCTGCAAACGAGAGTCAAAGTCGTTGTGTACCTGCAAAGGTCACATGTTCATCTTTTTCATGTATATCCTTAAATGCCATACATCATATTAACATTTTCACTTCAACTCATTTCTACACAAGAGAGTTACCCGTTGCGGGAATAGCTCAGTTGGGAGAGCGTCAGACTGAAGATCTGAAGGTCACGTGTTCGATCCACGTTCACCGCACATGTCTATA